GAAGGAGACGGAGCTTTTTTTTTTTTGTCAAAAATTTTACTGCAGTGTGCAAACACGCTTTTCAGCGTTAAACGAATGCTTTAGGATAAGACTGTTCAGCTTCAGCTCGTATCGCCGGTGCTCTCAAGTTCCCCACCTCCAATGGCGACGGCTCTCTCTTCCATATTGCCGGCGGTGGTGGCGGCACACAGTACTGTCTCCCCTTCGAAAGCTCATAAGCCTCCGGCAACTCTGCGGTTCCTCAAACCATTTAATCGGCCCCTCGTTCCCTCTATTCACCGAAGATCACCAATTTCAGCTAGTGCTGCGGCCACCGTGGAAGATGAACGGCAAAACGATGAAGAGTCAGTAAGCATTGACGTCCTTAGACGCTTCATTAACCTCAACTTGGGCTATTGGACCGGCTATTTCCATGTATTTATCGGTTCTTCTGTAGTGTTCATATACCTTTCTATAAAAGTTTCTCTGGTACCAAACTTGTTGCCACGATATGTTAAGGATGATGATAACATATGATTTATGGTGGTTTCTTGCAGCAATTCGATTGCAATGGGGATTTGTTGCATAAAATTAGCACGAAGCTCAGTGCGAGTTCGTATGGGGAAGATGAACTCATGAGCTTGATTCAATCGTAAGTTGTTATTCCTACCTGCCATAGTACTAATAATGGACTAGATCAAAATGACTCAATTAAATTCTAGTGCTTCTTCTATCAGTGAAGTTTCTAGAAAAAAATATATCAAACGACGCAACGCACCTTGGGTCGCTATGGAAACATCCTCCTTGTATAATTACAAGGTTTAGGTCTGCGTACAACTGACCCCTAGACCCCAATCTGTTGGGAAACATCCTCCTTGTATAATTACAAGGTTTAGGTCTGCGTACAACTGACCCCTAGACCCCAATCTGTTGGGAATATAATGGGTATGTTGTTGATGGATGATGTTCATACATATAGTGTGCGATTTCGTATTATTTCTTATGTATGCCCAAGTTGGTAATCATCACTCAATGGGAATAGGAATGAGGCCAAGGTTTTCACAAAATGTGATAGAAATTAACTAAAACAGATCCGCTTGGAAAGTTGATCAAATTCTTGAAATGCTACTGGTAGGTATTGCCATTATATCCTGATTGAGCCAGTTTACGTGCGAAAAAAAATCATTTGTGTAGTTGCATCTCCATTTGTCTTTTCGTGCCATTATCATAAAGGTGGCTGAAATTTGTCATCATTTAATGAACTGAGGAGTTAGTTAACATGCACTGTGAATATTAACTCAATTATCTTGCTTTCTTGTGCTGTTCCATTTCTATATTTCTTTCATTACTAATAATCAGACTTGTTGCTGTTCTCCACCTCATCATCATGCCAGGTTGAGCTAGTGCATGATATCTCTTATACACAAGTCGCCTTATGTTTTGTAGAGTTTATGAACTTCATTTGGTTCAGAAAATCTTCACCAGAAAAGAAACACGTGTGTTATCCTTTTCCAGTTTCTTTTGCAGAACAACACATGTATAGTACTTTGCATCTTCATTAAATTGTTTAGTTGAAAATCCAACCTGATGCCTAACTGTACTATGTATTTTGGAGACTACTCTTACACCCTTACAATTCTATAACAACATGCTATTATTGATATCATAAAAATACATCGCTGTGTTTGTTTTGTTAGCTATATTGTTTTGGGTTCCAAAATATAGGTTATACATCAAGCAGCCTCCTCTAAGCACTTCAGACCCTGAAGAATGGTTCGAGTACAAAATTAAAGAAACCAACATGTTCACAGTTGACAAATATCAACAAGTAAGACTTCTCGGCGACTAATGCATTTTCATAATTCAGTGTTATGATTGAGCTTCTATTGTATGTACCATGGCATTTTAATTTGTTTTACTTTTAGTTCAACATCTACTGAATTTAGTTTGCAGATTTGTTTTTTCCCTATAGAGAAGGCATTTGCATTGAGATACCAGACAGCTGGAATGTTGGAAACAGTGATAAGACAAGGGGTGTTAGGTGAAGATGACACTGGTGAAGAATCGCCCAGGTATTTGGGCGTGCGATTGTATGTTTCTTTTTTTCTTTTCTCGGTAAGTGTTTATTTCCTTATTGTAGTGAGTGACAATTTTGGATACTGAGCTTAATCTATCTATCTATCTATCTATCTATCTATCTATCTATCTATCTATCTATAACTACCTTAAAAGGATGAGTTATTTCTTGAAAATTTTAAAATACCCATATTACCCTCTAGAGATTTACTTTTTAAGGACATAAATGTAATATTATAACTTCATTACTATCTCATCCAACCACATGTAAATAAAATATGAAATGTCACTACTACCCTCAATAGAAAATAATGTTACATTCAAAAAGTATTATATTATATTACTTCCAAAACGTTATATTATGTCTTATTCTAAATACATTTACTGCTTATAATATAAACAATTAAAACTGTTTCAAATAAAAATTTAATTTTTAATTAAAATAATTAAAACACATGAGTTAATATAAAATTGTTTCAAATAATTTCAAATAAAATGTTTTAAGTCATTAATGTGATGTTTTATAATCATGAATGTGATGACATAGTGTTCATTTTTTTCTTATAATATTCCTTGTGTATTTTATAATTAATACTTTTTTATAATAATAATCTATTAAAAAAATTGATTGGTATCCAAATTTTTAAATTAATGTATTGGCAGAACTACATAACTAAGATTTTGCATGTACAAAATATTAAAAATTTGTAATGTAAAGTCAATAAAAAAAATCCATTGATCAGACCTATTATTGAAACCAAACACTTATCTATTTAACTGGTTTTTTTCAATGTCATATTTATTAATCTTTTCTATTCTTATTGTATTATTTTATTATTAATATTTTATTCACTTAACTTATGGTTCTCATTGTTTTTTGTTATTTGCAAAAGACATGGAATAATGAGTTTTAGAACCGACCCTAAATGGGTTCAGAACCGATAATATTTCGGTAACCGATTTTTGGTTACCGTTACACATAAGTCAGTTCGGATCGGTTTATTTTCTCATCGGTTCAGTTTGGTTCGGTTCGATTCGTTTTTTATTTTCGGTCAAAAGTACCAGCCAACCCTAGCCTGGGCAATAAAAGAGAGTTGAAGTCCTTTATATGAGCCAATTAAAATTGTAGAATATAATAATTAATATACAACATTAATAGTAAAATAAAAGAAGTGTTGAATTGTATTAATTGACAATTATAGACAAGTTGGCCTACCGAGTGACATTTGAAAACAAAAAATCTTGAGGTGCAAATTAAATTTAAAAGGGGGGGCCAAATTAAAATTTTAATATTAATAGTAAACAAAATTAAAATTTGAAGGGGGGCAATTGCCCCTATTAATACATGTAAATTCGCCCATGAACATACATTATGTCATTTCAGGGGAAAAAAGTTATTCGTTAGTGAAAATATATAATTGTTTATAACATTATGCATAATATGATTTAAGCTACCCGTTATTAGTATGAATAATATAAATGTTTTTTTTTATGAAAATATGTGTAACATAAATTAATCTACCACTTACTTTAATTGTATTATGGATAAGTATAGAGTAATTATATAATTTAAATAAAATAATTAAAATCAGTTTTAAATCTTAATTTTGAAATACGTGTTTATTAGAAAATATATAGATGTAATTAAAATCAATTAAAAAAACAAATAATATATTCACTTTAAATTTGTTGTTATAAGCCAATCTTATTTATAAAATTATTCACAAATTAAATGTTTCAAATATCTTTTGAAAAGTAGGGACAATAAACTATTTTTAAGAATTGGCAAAGATATAAAAATAATATTAAGATAAAAGTAAAATATAAAAGAATCATCATTTTATAATTCATTTAAATTGGATTTATTTATTTTTTTCACATTTAGGAAAGTCTTGAAAATATGTGAACGAAAATGATAATGCATGCAGACAATGTAAGGAGATGCAACAATAATTTATGTTAGACAATATACACAGATGTGTACCTCAATCGACCAATGTTGGACAATATATATAGATGGATGGGTACCTTTAAATTTTAATAAATCAATGAAGGATTTTATTGTTCCTAATCTTTTTCAAGTATTTTTTTTAAATAATTACGACTTTAAAGACATTTTCAAATACTTATTCATCTTTGATGTCATTATGCCGGAGAGAAAATAAATATCTAATTAATATGAAATATTATGCTTGTAAATAAAATTGATTTTGCAACTACTATAATCAAAATAATAGAAAAGGAAACATTTAAACATAGTTGGTTAGCTTCCAATCAATAACAAAAGAAACAATCATTACAAATGATAGTTATAACAAATTCGAGTTATTTTGAATGAGTGTGCAAAAAGAAGACGTTAGAAAACTGAATTGTGATGAATATAACAACGATTAAAAACAAGGTTTTAAATAGCGGGCTAAAACGTTAATGGCACTGTAGCTATAGCGGAGCTATAGCGGAGATTTAGCGGCTAAATTGCACATGAATACAAATAGCGGCACGTTGCCAAAAAAAGCTATTTCTCAAATAGCGGCAACTTTAGCGAACTATTTATTTCCTTGATTAAAAATAATAAGGATAACAGAAAATAAGAAAACCAATGAAAACATATATGTTTTAGCTTTTAAAATTTCACACCAAAAAAAAAAAAATTAATTTTATTTAAGATTTTCAACCTATTTTTTTATTTAAGGAAGAAAATTATATTATATTATTAAATATAAATCTAATAATAAAAAAAAATTAAGTAACAATATCACGTGCGTAGCACGTGCATTTTCCTAGTCTTTTAAAATCTTATGGCTAAATTATCTAATTAACTAAAAATTCTTTTCTTGTTTTTCTTCGTTTTTGTTCTGAAGGAATTTGAAGCTTCCTTCTCGACGGTTTAAACTACTATAATCAAAATAACAAAAGAGTGTGCTTCCAATCATAGTTGGTTAGCTTCCAATTTGAAGCAACTACTATAATCAAAATAATAGGAAAGGAAACATTTAAACATAGTTGGTTAGCTTCCAATCAATAACAAAAGAAACAATCATTACAAATGATAGTTATAACAAATTCGAGTTATTTTGAAAGAGTGTGCAAAAAGAAGACGTTAGAAAACTGAATTGTGATGAATATAACAATGATTAAAAATAATGAGGATAACAGAAAATAAGAAAACCAATGAAAAAAAAAATTAATTTTATTTAAGATTTTTAACCTATTTTTTTATTTAAGGAAGAAAATTATATTATACTATTAAATATAAATCTAATAATAAAAAAAATTAAGTAACAATATCACGTGCGTAGCACGTGCATTTTCCTAGTCTTTTAAAATCTTATGGCTAAATTATCTAATTAACTAAAAATTCTTTTCTTCTTTTTCTTCGTTTTTGTTCTGAAGGAATTTGAAGCTTCCTTCTCGACGGCCGGCAATTGTATGTGAAAACTGCATCTTTTCATTTGAAAAAGATGTGAGAGTGAGAGCTTTCCATATAATGAACCCACAGGGCATACTCGAAATGCTTCTGTTATTCCTGGAAGAAAGAGGAAGCAAAGATAATCCTCATCCTTCCTTTGACGAGTCTAAGGTACCTTACTTTACCTCTAAAATCACAAATCCTATGGAAAATTGTGAAATATTAACTAGTATTATATAATTTTGGGGTGTAGGATTTGGACAGGATTACTCCACATTTGGGTACGTGGAAGGGTCGCTCTATAACCAAACGCAGTGGAGTTTATGGAGCCACAATAGCCGAAGCCAGTACGGTAGCTACACTTGAAATTAATGGGGATGGTCAGCTTGCCCAGGTTTGACTATTTCTTTTAAACCGAGAATTGCTAGTGAATTCTCTTCATTTTCCATTGCCTTATTTTCGATTAATACATTCCAAGAACCGTGACTTTTGCTCCTTACACTTTTGCTCCAATCTCTTCCTTTTGTTTTGAGCCCTTTTTGTGTTTCTCTTACCATTGGTTCTCTTGGGTTTCATCTCTAGCCTACCCGAACTTGCTTGGGACTAAAAGGTTATGTTGTTGTTGTTTGTACATTCCAAGAGAAATTACAAAAGAAAATTGAAAATGCTTCCACTGTATTTGCAGAAACCTGTGCTTTTAGAAAGAAATGATTTGATGTCGAAATATTATTCCTTGATTGCAAACATTCCCATAGTCCTCAAACGTGGAGTCCATCAAATAATATCCTAATTCCATTTTCTTTGACAATCTAATCATCCACAGTTGAACATCACGTTCTACTTGAGCATGCAGTTATTATAATCTGATGCCTGTAGTTTTCACCTTCCGTGGTTTGAATCATTTTAAATATTGGTTTTATTTATTATTATATTTTTTTCCCTAAAACCGGCATAGGAGGTAAGATGTACATCAGATGGTGGTGATGTAACGACATCTGTAAGCTGGATGGGTTCAATTTGTAACAACACGATCAGCTTTGATGGTGGTTACAAGTTTACGTTGTTGCCGGGTGGGATCTACATGGGATGCCCTTCTGATATTGCAAAGAGCGTGCAAGAATCAATGTGCTTTCATTTGGAGCTATGTTGGGCTGAGTCGACTGTCAAGAGACAGAGACTGGTCCGGACGTACGATGCAGAAGGGTTAGCAGTCTCATCAACATACTTTTGCGAAACTAAACAATGATACTTCTCTCTGTGTGTGTTGAAGCCAAAGTTATTCTTGTACAATGTCAATTAGAAAGAACCATTCCGGATATTCTCAATGGAGAATGTTTTGCCCCAATATGATGTGAGTTTTTAGTTAGTCTAGGATTTTGTGATAAGTTGAAGAACAATTGTACAGGCAAAAGAATCTGCTGGTTTTGCCCGAATATGGGGGAGTTATTAGATTCATTTTCGGCTTTAATAAAGCGTGCATTAAAGTTCTTTACTTCACATATTACCATCAGTAATCAAACAATTGATCGATCGAGTACAAAGTAAACTGTTGTCTGGTCGAAAATTACTAATGTCTTAGGATTTTAATAGAAGATAATTAAACAGGTTGCTGATTATTTTTTCCCCTCAACTTCAAGGTAGCCTAACCTAAACCAATAAAAACAGCAATAATAAACTTAAATGAAAGCAATTATAAAACAGAACTCAAGAAGAAGAAGAAGAAGAAGAGGAAAGAAACATCAGCATTCATAGTATACAACCTGGGAGCATTAAGAAAACAAAATAGGCTTAAAATTTAATATAAAGAGAGATGAAGAATAAGAAGAAGAAAAAGAAATATCAAATCTGTTTGTGCTTGTTGTGAGATTGATATATTTCTAGCCAACTTGGAATGTCAATAAAGGTCTTCAAATCAAACAAATGGATAAAGTTGTGTTTGGCAGATACCTACATTTAAAAGCTGGAGCTATAGAAACAACAACAAACAAAAATACTCCTTCAGATGCTTGTATCATTATAATTACATCTCACATTTGTGAAGTTTAAAAAGGCTTAATTAAGAAGGGGCAAGTACTTGACAACCTTTGTCTCACAAATCTGCAGAAAAATGCAGCATACAGAAGTTAGTGATACTCACACAAAACTACATCATCTTAGCACTTCAAAATTACAAATAGCCCTTACTATTATACAATTTTTCTAACAACTAGTGTGAATTATGTATGGAGTAGATTGTCATCATTACCTTCATAGAATCTGGATTTACGATGCAGTTGACGAGATCGGTTGTTATGTTGCCTTGAAGATATTTCTTCTTCAGACATCAACAGCGCTGATAATACAACTCTGCCTTTCTTCGTGTTTCCATTATCCTACGAGAGTTCCAGATACAGAAATTATAAATAAATAAATGAAAGTCAGTTGACGAACAATTTTCACGAGGCTACTCTAGCTTCTACTTGTTTTTGCAACTGAAAATGCATATAACTCATTAGCATTTGTGTGTCTTTACAAACGAATCTTCAAGAGGAGGTATAGTCCCGAATCCTGAAAGATATATAATTGCATCTAACACATGTAAAAGTGGTTGTAATATATGGGTTACCATGTTAATTTGGTGAGCAAAGGAGTCATCGTTGACGTGCAGTATGTCGGAGTCTTGGGCGTGCCTCCTCTGAGCTCCCACTGGCCTGTGCTTCTTAGGTCGAACGAAGGTGGCCGATGGCTGGATGGGAACCGAGCGGGTGCTCGACTGGCGGGACCCACCCGACTCATCAGTCATCCGCGAAATCTCCGACAGGGTATCGTGCGCCTGCTTCCTCCTCTGTACGTTGGCGCTGCTGCTGCTGTAGTTGCGCTGTCCCACCGATTCTTGCACATTCTTACGGGACATCCTTGCTCCAACTGACCCACCACCCTTCATCCTGTCACATATTATTACACACACCATTGTTTTTCTCAAAATGTTCTTACCAACTCACAACCCTCACTATGACTAAAATGCTTTTTCCAGGAAAACCACAAACCTTTTTGCTTCATCACGGGATTTGGCATCCATCTCTTTATTGGGTGGGTACTTTGGTAAGCTTGCTGGATCACACGCGTAAGGCAACATGCGGAAGTACTAAAAATGAAAAACAGGATATGAATCATTAGCTATATCTCATTATTATTCAAACTCATTATACTGCTAAACTTCATACCTTGGAATCAAGAGCAGAGGAAGCGGTGCCACGTTTATAAGGCTCGATCGACAGAAATGTTTCGATTAAGCTAACCGCACTTTTTGGAAACTCTCTACATCTTTCTCTGAGTCTACTCTCATAAGGAAGCTGGGGCTTGAACATGTTAGCCAGAGGAAGTTTCGACTCTTTCCAGTAGTCACTAGGTGGAGACCCACAAAGTTTGAAGATTTTATGCAATTGTTCAACCTACGCGTGCCAACATCAACTAGTAAGATACATATACATCGAGTTTGGTGGAGAAAAAGTCCAATAAAGCTTTCAACTTTTTAATTAACCCAACAATTTTAGCAAACTTATCGATCATGGCATTGTATTCTACCTCAGTTCTGCCTTTAAATAGAGGCTTTCCAAGGAAAATCTCACAAAAAACACAACCCACACTCCATAAATCGACAGCTTCTCCATAATCAGTCGATCCCAAAAGGAGCTCAGGAGGACGGTACCACAAAGTGACTACACGGCTCGTCAATGGCTGCTTGTTCTTTGGTCTCATGAAATTTGCAAGACCAAAATCACCTATTTTCAGAATCCCTTCGTTATTAATCAAGATGTTTGACGTTTTAATATCCCGATGCAATATTCCTCGTTTGTGGCAGTGTTCTATCCCGCTCAATAGCTGTCTCATATAGCACTTGATCTGCCTCCATAAACAAAACAAACAAAACGAAAGAAACCCATAAAAACGATGAAAGGAAAGGAAATATTCAAATTAGAGAATGGCATTGTGAGCCATATAGCACTGTTGATGAATTCTTTAGGTTAAAAAGAACAAAATGTTGATTGTATAAGATTAAGATTAAATCTGGAAGACACTGAAAATATTCTATTAGACGTTTAAAAAATATTGACAGACTAACTTGTGATTCAGTAAATTTGATCTCTGGACAAGATAACAGGCCGGCAAGGTCGTGTTCCATGTATTCGAAAACGAGGTAAATGTAGCATGATACTCGGGAAGTGATTATGCCCTCAAGCTTCATGATATTAGGGTGGTCAAGCTTGCGCAGGATTAGGATCTCACGAGCCATAAATTTCACGCTCCCCAGTTCAAAGTTATCGAACCGCACCTTCTTCAGAGCAACAATTTTACCAGTTTCAACATCGCGCGCGCGGTATACGTCGCTATATGTGCCTTTTCCAATCTACAATTTGCAATAACATAAAAAGGGATTATATTAGAATATAGTTCCATCTGAAACAATGTAAAAAGTCACAAATGATAATTAACTACATATATATATGAATACCAATGTGCTAGTAATAAAAGAATAAACCTTGTCTAATCTTTTGAACTTGTCCAATCTCATAGGCAGCCAGCCATGAATAGCTTCCCCAGCCACAGCGGAGAGCCAAGCGGGCCAGCCAGCCGCAACATGTTCTCCCTCGCCCAACCTCCCGAATCTCAAGCTAAAAACGGCCTTCTTATGAGACGGCCTTCTATTTACGGCCCGTAAATTCCTGGAATGCCCCGAAAAGGTTGACCCTTCCTTAACAGGCTCATCTTCCATCTCCTCCTCCTCCTCCTCCTCCTCCTCTTCATCATCATCCATTTCTTCCTCCTTCTCGGGCTCCTCCTTTATCTTCTCCAAAGGCCCGAACGCGGCCCGGACGTGCAACAATGAAGGTGGACCAGACCGGGCAAGCCCGTTATTCAGGGTCGCCCTCGTGGAGGATGAGGAGGAAACTGAATAACGGTCATCTTCGGGCGAGTCTTGTTCGGGCCGGGCCTTCTTGGAGCTGATGCAACCCATGACCCACCAAAACCCATCAAAGGGAATGAGATGCAGAGAAAAATGGTATACCCAAGATGATCAAACGGGCCGAATCTTGGGTGGGTTGGTTGTGTAAACAACAAACCCCTACATCAGCTTCATTTTTTTTTTCTTTTTTTTTTTTTTTTTTTTTAAGATGAACGAATGTTTTGCCTGGAAAAATGAAAAAACGAAAAAGAAAAAGAAACAGAGAGGAATAGGGAGACAATATCTCAAGAAACTGGAATTTTTATTATTTTTTTTTTTCTTGAGAGGTGGCGAAGGAGAGAGGAAATGGAAAAAGGAAGTGTCAAATGTTGTCTTCCTAATTCTTCTTTCTTCCATCGGATTGGATTGTTTTGTTTTGTTTTATTTATTCCGAAATCTGCGGAGGCGGAGTGGCAGGAAGAGGGGCAGATACATTTACGTTGGTTTTGATCGATTTGGTGTTTCCTTTCTTGAAACTCTTGCGGCAAATAAGTTGGACAGGTTGAGATTTTGGTTCCAATTTCGGTTGGGGGACGGTTGGTGTTCATGAATCCACAGGCCGACTGCCAACGCCTACAAAGAGGAGGACATGTACAAAAGAATGTTTCAAATGATGCTAGTTTTTATTGATTTCAAATCAAATTATAGAAGGGATCATGAGAGTGAAAGAAATAAGAATGATCAATAATATCAATGGATATAATAAAGTCAAACATTAATAACTCTGGTCAAAAGACGATGACATAATTGTAAATATATGTATATTTCATGGTCAAATAGACCCTTTGTGTAATTACAACTTCCCCATAATTATGTGGGCCCCACAACCAATACATCTCCACCATCCTAATTAAATTATTTACAGACGCATTTTTTTCTCCCCCCTCTCTCTCTCACACACACAAACTACACACTCACACTCACCTCCGACACCTCACACAGTCGCCGGCGTCAGCCCATCGACGGCATCGGCGGCCATATCAACATCGTCGACAACGACCACCAATGGAGAACTCAGCTCCGCCGTCAACCACTGTAGAAGCGGCCAATGGGAGCTTCGCCGTCGACCATGGAGTCTGGCGTTGCCGCACAGCAAACACGCGCCTCCCGCCGACGCCATCGAGCAACCGGCCGCCACCTCCTTCCATAGTCAGCTCATAAGCCGCCGCCGTCTTCATCTGCCGAAAATTGAGCCGCGTTGCTCCTCCGTGTAGTCGCCGAAAATCACTCTCGAAGACGAACCAGGAAATCTCCTCTACATCGTCTTTGGGCTACTCGAACAGAAGACCTGCTCGTATTGGAGGTGGAGGTCACTGGCGGAGATGACGAAGACACCGAAGTCGCCGGAGATTCAAATTCGGCCAGAGCCAGCCCTTCAAAATTGAAAGTGAAAAATGATGGAATCGATAGCCGGAGAGGGCTTAGTAGGTAAAACAACGGCCGGGAGGTTCACCTGCGGCTCGGACGCGGCTACCAACGGCCGGAGATCCACCAACTAGTTTAGAGAATTTGGGGTCATGTGTTTGAAAATTTGATATTTTTTGAGGGCTTGAATGTAAATTTAAGAATTTTAATTATAAAATAGTATTAACCAAAGCAGTTTTCTCAAGTCGTCAACCATTACTACCGGGATGAGCCTGCCTTACCTTGGAACTGAGCCTGCAGAACAAGATAGTCCTGCTTAAATCTGTGTCAATCTAGCATTTTAGTAAACGTAATTATTATTCATAATACTAGTTGTCAAGTACAGCTTAATTGCAGCTTCTATTTAATTATGGTCATGTTGCATTTTGTTACTATGTTATTATTAGTTTGATCGTACATGATGAATTAGGTAGATTGTGCATGTTTGGTGAAAATTATTCAAATGGGTGTGGAAATAATTTATGCTTGTTGGTTGTCTTGTGATATTGGGTGTGATATTGGCCCCGTTTAGAAGATAGCGGATTGAAAATAAATTAGCGGATTTGACGTAATTGAGAGGTTTGACTCGTCAAATCCGCAATTGGGCCTGTTTGGTAAATAGCTTATTTGATAAGCTTTTTGGGCTCAACACTCTAATTTAGAAAAAGCTCATTAGAGCAACTTTTTGGGATAGAAGATTCACAAAAATCGTTTATTTAAAACTTTTTAATTTGTATTATTTATTTTACAATCTACATTGGTTTATAGTGCTAATAAATAATAATATGTCATGATTAATTTATCTAGAAAAATGTAAAATTCATAACTTCTTCATCAAGTGTTAGTAAATTTTAAAAAAAATTATAGATTACCAACTAAATAATATCAAATGTTTTAATATATTATTATTAAAAAATACACCATAAATAATAAAATATTATTATTGGTTGTTTTGCAATGTCAAACAGCTATAAGCTTTCAGCTATTTACCAAACACTTATTTAAAAACCACTAATGCAATTCGCTGGTTAAATCAGCTAATATAACCCGATATCTGCTGATACAATCGGCTATCCGTTGATCGCTAAACAAGGCCATTGTTTATGCTTATTGGTAAGTACATTTTATGTATAAAAAAATAGTAAATAAAATTGATGTAAAATATTAAATTAATAAAAAAATATAAAATACTAAACAAAGAAAATGAAATAATAATTTAATTTTTATAATATAAAATTTCGAATCAAACATTTTAGTATATGGGTAACGAAATTTACTGTACAATCTAATAGTTAATAGGGTGCAATTTGTCCAACACTATGGTGCATGATTTTGATTTGTGTTGTGCAAATTGAACCAATTAAACTTTTGTCTCAAATTAACCTGAAAATGAACATAATTAATTAATTCCTAGATTATCAAAACAATTTATTATTTAAATTAAATTTTTATTTATTATGTTAATAATATTATGTATTATTTTTATATTATTTTTTTGTTGAAATATTTTGTACTCGGTCAGTGTCGATCTATACTGTGCAATCTGATAGTCATGATAAAGTGCAACTCGATGTTTTATAAAGTGCAACGCTTTGTTTTATAAAGTGCAACGTGATAATATATAAAGTGAACTATTGTAAGTTTGATACGTTATCATGCTTGTATTTTTTGTGAACATATGATGTGATGAATGTTAAAGTATTGTGTAGATTTGTTTTTTCTAGATTTATTTTGTGTGATATGTTGGCGGGAGCTATTAACGTTAATTGTGGAGTGTGGTGATAAAGTGCAACGTGATGTTTTATAAGGTGCAACTTGATGTTTAATAAAGTGCAACGTGTTGATATATAAAGTGCACTACTTTATATGGTCATATATAGTTATTGACGTTAATTGTGGAGTAAATAAAATGAATAGGCGCACAATTAAAGTCCTAAACCCTTCTCGGCAACGGCGCCAATTTGTTGTAAATATTTTTACCGGAGTAGAATCGTAAGATTCAAACACCGGGTCGTATCTCAATGAAGGTCAGCCGGAATAAATTGCACAACTATTCAAACACACGAAATAAGAAACAAGTCCTAAACACTCTAATTCAAATTGATGGTTTTTGATTATCAACTACGAATTCTAAATGAATAGAAAAGCAAACGAACTATCAGATCCAAACAAAATTCAAATGGTGTTGAGGTAGTTAGGGAATCGGAGATACTCACGTATGGTTCTGACACAATTAATAATTGGTTAACCGCTCGGTTAAGAAATCAAATAACTTACTCGTTTAGAGGTTTGTTCTCAATTACTGTTCGTAACAAGAGAGCAAACATAAACAAATAATTATCTAAACAATCAACACATAGGCAATACATTAACGAACAAGTATATCTTAGACGAGCCATGCTCAACCAATTTCTCCCCTTTCAGTTCTACAAATTGATTAATTAGATTAGAATGATGATCAAGCATCTAACCCTATATTAAGAACAACTCGAATAGATTTAACGGTAAGCAAGCATTCATGAATCACAATCGAACCAACACGAATATCTCCTATCCCCAACAAATGATTTAACTACTTGAAGTGAAATAGATTTCACCCGGGCTCCTTCAACTCGACCGGCCTCCGTACCTGCAAGAACCCAACGCCGGGGGTGGCCCCGACGTAGGGCCTCCGATGCCTAAGTCAGTCCTCATATCAAGAGAGAGAAAGTGTAGTCATCAAATGAGTAGAGAATAATAGAATAAGGTACCTTGGCCCCCTTTTATACGGGGAGTGTACCTTTTGGTCCCAAGTTGGGCTTGACCCCTATCGTTGGGTTTAGATATCTTAGTGGGCTTATCCTCCAATATGTATCTGCTTAATCCATAAATCGGGTCCAGTATAATATCCTATATCATCTAGTCCCCCCCCACTCTGGTCGAGTAAGCATGACTCGATCCAAGAGTGAAAATTCCTCTTCGGATTGTTTCTGTCGACCTGTCACTGAGGTTACCATTTGAATAAATCCTCGGCCACCAAATAGTTATCAATCCTCCAAGTGAGCATCGGGACACCAAATGAATATCGAATGACCACCAATATCAAGACTCGAGAGACCTGCCTCTGAGGTCGAACGCCGAGAATCAAGAATCGAGAGACCTGCCTCTGAGGTCGAACGCCGAGAATCGAGAATCGAGAGACCTGTCTCTGAGGTCGAACGCCGAGAATCGAGAATCGAGAGACCTGCC